ATTTTTCAATTCTTGCCAATTAATGTAAATGTGTGATGTGTTAAACTGGATTCTGTTAATAAATGACCCACTCGTTTGGTGAGTCAAAGATAATTAACGTCTCACTTCCACATTTTATTTAAATTCAATGCACGTATGTTACACAGTCCAGAAAAATGAAAGAACCCGTTTTAACAGTATGAATACATCTCAGGATATGTCATACTACACTGTGCACGACACACAATCATCAATCTTTAATATTACTCACATGATTGGGACAGTACGGGATACAATAAAAAGTTAATGAAAAAATACTTTGGACATGCACCGCCATTTTGTAGTTTTCTCTCAATAATCCTACACTGTATCGCCACTCAAATGGACTACATTTCCCAGAAGCCAACAGTACACTACTCAGAATTCCCAAAAGTGCTTCCAGACATCGCTTTCTGCTGAAATGAAGCCAGTTTGGTCCTTATTCATAGTGACTTCAGTGCTCAGTGGATGCAGAGAGCCGAACGGAACCAACCGGGAATTGGACCAGAACCAGACTTCTAGCATTATCGGTCAATCTGAGTGCTGCTTGCTGGCCCATGAGGCCTCTCGAGTGGGGAGACATCGCTTGGAGGTCCGATGTTTTCTCCGGTGCTCACCGGGTCTTTTTTTCATATGGATTTGGACTCGATCGGGACCAGTTTTGTTTGCAGTAAGTAGTGTTAGGAATAAAATAAACTTTGATGATCAATTGTGGAAAATAACATGATATGGGTTGGTGAATATATGGTTTAATTATGAATTATGGAACATAGATCATATAAAGACGAGTAGAATATCTGTCAGATGTGTAAACTAGGCCATAAGCTGATAATGATATCGTTTTAGTGACTGCTAACTTTTAAAATCAACCACGACACTTTCTGCTGTCAGTAGGAAAATAGTTCCTTATAAGGCCTTTAATGAGAAAACAAAACAACTCAAAGGTTCTTGTTCAGTTAAATTATAGTTCACATCATTTGAGTATGTGTGGGGATTATAAAATAATTTATGATGAGTTAGAGATCAGCTTAATAGGTCAGAACGACTGTAGTGCAATCTGACTTGATAATGTGATGGGTTACCCAGGGGATAACCAGAATCTCACAGTCTTTGTAAGATTATGCAGATTGGAGCTTGTAATGTGTCACGTACTCAGTGGAAAGTGATGACAGCTAAAGTGTGCCTGGTTGATTGGACAGGGACTTCAGAGAGTCTGTAAGGTTGGACAGGAATTGAAAACAGGAAGTGTCACGGGGTGGATAAACAGAGTCTATAAATGTGGGAACAGAGCAGACACAGGGCAGAATTGTATTGTATGGGGGCCCCTTTGACGTCAGGTAATATATTTATACAATTCTCTCTTCTTCATGCATTTTGAAGTCTGTAACATTAAAGATGTTGTTTAATTCTGACATAAACGTGTGTTCCTTCCGAGTAACAACCCGGGCAGGGGAAGAGGAGATAAGACATTTGTTTCCCCTTACAGTAGCTACTGTGCAATACATATACAGGTCCTTCTCATAAAATTAGCATATTGTGATAAAGGTCATTATTTTCCATAATGTAATGATAAAAATGAAACTTTCATATATTTCAAATTCATTGCACACCAACTGAAATATTTCAGGTCTTTAATTGTTTTAATACTGATGATTATGGCATACAGCTCATGAAAACCCAAAATGCCTGTCCCAAAAAATTAGCATATCATGAAAAGTTTCTCTAAACAAGCTATTAACCTAACCATCTGAATCAACAACGTAACTCTAAACACCTGCAAAAGATTCTTGAGGCTTTTAAAAACTCCCAGCCTTGTTCATTACTCAAAACTGCAATCATGGGTAAGACTGCTGACCTGACTGCTGTCCAGAAGGCCATCATTGACACCCTCAAGCAAGAGGGTAAGACACAGAAAGAAATTGCTGAACGAATAGGCTGTTCCCAGAGTGCTGTATCAAGGCACCTCAGTGGGAAGTCTGTGGGAAGGGAAAAGTGTGGCAGAAAACGCTGCACAACGAGAAGAGGTGACCGGACCCTGAGGAGGATTGTGGAGAAGGGCCGATTCCAGACCTTGGGGGACCTGCGGAAGCAGTGGACTGAGTCTGGAGTAGAAACATCCAGAGCCACCGTGCACAGGCGTGTGCAGGAAATGGGCTACAGGTGCCAAATTCCCCAGGTCAAGCCACGTTTGAACCAGAAACAGCGACAGAAGCGCCTGACCTGGGCTACAGAGAAGCAGCACTGGACTGTTGCTCAGTGGTCCAAAGTACTTTTTTCAGATGAAAGCAAATTTTGCATGTCATTCGGAAATCAAGGTGCCAAAGTCTGGAGGAAGACTGGGGAGAAGGAAATGCCAGAAGTCCAGTGTGAAGCACCCACAGTCAGTGATGGTCTGGGGTGCCATGTCAGCTGCTGGTGTTGGTCCACTGTGTTTTATCAAGGGCAGGGTCAATGCAGCTAGCTATCAGGAGATTTTGGAGCACTCCATGCTTCCATCTGCTGAAAAGCTTTATGGAGATGAAGATTTCATTTTTCAGCATGACCTGGCACCTGCTCACAGTGCCAAAACCACTGGTAAATGGTTTACTGACCATGGTATTACTGTGCTCAATTGGCCTGCCAACTCTCCTGACCTGAACCCCATAGAGAACCTGTGGGATATTGTGAAGAGAAAGTTGAGAGACGCAAGACCCAACACTCTGGATGAGCTTAAGGCCGCTATCGAAGCATCCTGGGCCTCCATAACACCTCAGCAGTGCCACAGGCTGATTGCCTCCATGCCACGCTGCATTGAAGCAGTCATTCATGCAAAAGGATTCCCGACCAAGTATTGAGTGCATAACTGAACATGATTATTTGAAGGTTGGTGTTTTTTGTATTAAAAACACTTGTCTGTCATTGGTGGGATGAAATATGCTAATTTTTTGGGACAGGCATTTTGGGTTTTCATGAGCTGTATGCCATAATCATCAGTATTAAAACAATTAAAGACCTGAAATATTTCAGTTGGTGTGCAATGAATCTGAAATATATGAAAGTTTAATTTTTATCATTACATTATGGAAAATAATGACCTTTATCACAATATGCTAATTTTTTGAGAAGGACCTGTACATATGTTGTTAAAATTATGTAGTTTTAAGAGTTTAGAACATTGCAAGAGTCTGGGAAGGGTTTCTAAAGCCTTATAATATTTATAAATACTAAAATAAATATTTGTGGGTTTTCACTTATTGCGAGGGGGTCCGGAACGTAACCCCTGCAATAAAGAGGGACTAGTGTATCAGATTTCACTGGTACCTGCAGTTCTTTGATGGTCACGCGCTGATGGAGCAGCCCTTTCGACTGGCGGTGGTACAGAGGTGAAGCTGCTACAGCAAGTTCAGAGGACAAAGAGAGGAACATGCCAACATGTTTCATATGTTCACTCTGCGGGGCTCCCAGGAGAGCCAGGTAGCTCTGACACGATGCCAAGAAAGGACGTAACGCCTGCAATCAAAAGCGCACTGTCACTTTAGGAACACTGTTAACGTCTTTAAACATCTCTGCCACAAGAATCTCAAAACGGGTTCTCCAACCTGAGGTTCAGCTTTAGACTTTTGTGTTTTGTTGTCCCATGCAATCGGGATCAACAGTTCCGGCTGATCGATCTGTTGTCGAGAGGATTCTTGAGTTAGAAGAACAGCACAAGTCTGCTCCCATGTTAGCAAATATTGCTCTCACGTGTCCTAATTAGTACAAGCCTGTATGTATCGTTTAGTCCTCCTGCTGGCAGCTTCTTCTGGGTCCTTGCCCACATAGAGGTTGAAGAATGGAAAAGTGCCATAGTCTCTCATTAGTAAACCCAGGGTGGTGTTGAAATCTGTCTTATTCCACTGCCCTGACACAGCCCAGCCTCCCAGCTGCAAACAAATAGGAGACAACAAATAGCAGTATAAAAGCTAGATCAGGACAAAAATAAAAGTTAAATTTAGCAGAAACAAGCTGAACCAGAACAAAAGCTGGAATGAAATGTAAAAGCAAAAAGGGGTTTGAAGGCAATGAAGTGAGCTCCAGTTGTTTTCAATTTGAAAAACATGGCAGAAAAAGCTAAATATTTCAAAAAGTAAAAATTGCACAAATACCCAAAATCATAGCATGAACGAGCTGAACGTTTTGATGTACGATTATTGAAATAGCACAGAAATTACGTGCTGAAAAAATGTACAGAAGAAAAATAAAACCCGATTGCCCATATAGCCAAATACCTTAGGAACTTGAAAAAATGTTGGTTAATTCTTATGTTTTAAAGCTGAAAGCAAAATTTTTTCATAGCTTTTCTGGTGAATAACTGACTGACTTGTAATTTCCATGTATATATATTTTTTATGAGCAGTAGCATCAAACTAGCAAAGAGCACTGCGCCACCACCCAGAACCTTTGACGACCAGTTTCAGAAACTTCAGTCCAAGAAAACGATCACTGAGGTCACATGATACCTTCTGGATGAGTTTGAGGAACGGCTCTGCTCCTGTGGTTTCTATAGCTCTCATGTCCATACAGGAATGATAGAAGTGCTGAGTCTTCTGAAAAGCTGAACTGTTTGACTTGTAGTTGGTCTCTAACCGAGAGATAAACAAATATTAGATCATGGTTGTTTCCAACGCCTTCACTCTTATTCTATTGTGTTTTGGGTCGTTGCGAAAATTTAAACACCCACCTCAAGTCAAAATACAGAGATTTGTAGAAATTGTTTTAATAAGAACTTAAATATTTGCTCTATTATTCCTTTTTGTGCTGGTTAGTCATCCAACGTCCAACATAAAAACGTCTCCACAGAATGTTGGTCATGCTACATGAACTAAATGTCCATTTATTCCAGATGTGACCATTAACATATTATATCTGATACAGGGCCCTTATCTACAGCGATTCTTTGGCTGGACATCTACATTTCATGTATTACATGTTTTTAAATGGTAAAAGAAAAGATGTGTGGATTGTTGAATTAAAAACAAATACATAGTGAACACATAGATTAACACAGATAAAACAAACTGGAACACAATCAAAGGCATAAAAATACAAATCTGCAGATTGCCTCTTACCTAAAATCTCCCTGAGGTTCTGCAGCAGCACAGTTTTTCGGCTCAGTGTTTTTTCCTCCACCGGGCTTCTATTGATGGTTTGCTCATTTCGTACCTCTGGCCAAACTGACCTCTCCATCCGGTTCTGCGGATGGCCCAGTATACCCTGACCTCTTTGTCTCCCCCCGCTCTTTTGTGATCGAGCTGCTCCACATGTGGACAAGAAGTGGTCACAGGGCTGAGTGAAAGGATCGGGGGACGTGGACAGACGCGCTTCGGCCAGGCGACAGGCCAAGGACAGACACGGACTAACTACAGGAAAGAGTAAGAAAGGAGTCACACAAAATGATAAAATTGTGACTTTATTGCTGCAACATTGCTAGTTCTTGCAGGCCTACCTGTGATGGTATTTCTGTGGAGACTGTGGTGAATGTAGTAGAGAAGTCCTGAAATAGCAGCACAGACAGTCAGTCCTAAAACCAAGAGAAGTACTCTTTGGTGTTTTATCCACAGCGGCTTTTCTTGGTGCTCCAGGTTTGACGCTTGCTCCTGTTGAAGTGCAGGCTGGTCTTGGCTCTGTGACTGGAGCTGGTGGGGATCCTGGGTGGGGGGCGCTGGTGGTTGTGATGGATGTGGTGGCTGAGGAGGCCCACTCTCAGGTTCTGACTGTGACAGTGACTGAAGTGACAGCTCAGGCTGGAGTTGAGTGAAGAAAACAAGTGGCTCAGTCAAAACTACAGCAAGCATGGACATTTTTTTAATCATTCCTCGTTACTTTCATAAACATGTTCCTGGTCCTCCTTGGATCTGCACAAAACCTCTCAGTGAGGCCAGTAAAGTCTAATAAATAGAAATGAGGCTAGTTTTGGATTCACCTCCACCTTTCATTCACACGTTTTCCATCTTGCGTCCAACGTTGATTCATCACTCAAGAGCATGAACACACCTCTGTGGGCTCTCTTCCACCTGCTCCCTATTTTCACTGCAGATCACAATGTCCTACTCCTGCTCGACCTTCTCCTTCAACCTGTCCGTCTCTATTGCAAACAAACACCAGATGATCCTACCACACCTCACCACGGTCTTGCTTTCACTGCACGTCTTGTACCGCCCTTATACTTCATCACACGTCTTCCTCAAACAGTACCGCAGTGCCTCTCTTGGTACCCTGTCATCTGCTTTCCCTAGATCAGGGATCTGCAACCTTTATGATCAAAAGAGCCATTTTTACACTACAGTAAACATGCCCGGAGCCGCAGCAACTGTGATTATCAACTGGTGGCCCGTGAGCCGCTTCAGGTTTGCTGGAGGGAACTTTTGTGGCCAGTAGGGGAAAATCTAATGATTTTTAACGTTTATTAAAGTAAAAGACCAGATTCTTGTAAAAAATTGTGTGTGTGTGTGGAGGGGGTGTCCATTTTTACCACTTCTTTAATTTAAAAAAATCTATAAACTATGCAGACAGTTCTTCATATAAAGAAATAAAGCATCAAGTTAAAGTATGCTTTACTCCTTTTACTCACTCCAGTGTTGACACATTTGCAAAATAAATGACAGGAAAACTGTTGAACTAATCTTTTTTGTTGTTGTTCTGTTGTCAATAAATTCAGTTTGTCAAAGCTTATTTATGTCAAAGCTTGAAAGAGCCACTACAGAGGGACCAAAGAGCCGCATGTGGCTCCAGAGCCGCAGGTTGCAGACCCCTGCTCTAGATCCACAAAGACATGGTTCTGACATCCTCCATCTACATTCTCAAAGCAAATATTTCATCTGTAGTGCTTTCGGTTGGCACAAAGTCATACTGCTGCTCACTGATCGCTACCTTTAACATTATATCTGCAGTAACCATTACAAAGCAACTGCAGTATGACTTCATCTAAATATACAGGAAGATTCAAATTAGGGTTTTTCAAAAACACAATAAAACGATTCAATTTAGAATATCAGTAAATTAACTGAAAATTTAACACCCACAGTCTACAAATGAGTGTTTTTCTTTCCACTCATAACCTTTTTCAAAGAGAAGTTACGTTTAGGCTTTTTAAAAATAAATGTGAATTATCGATATAGATGAGTCCGTGTGACTGCAGAACAACTGATCATTTGTTTCAGCTTTTAGAACATCGTTCAGCAAATTAATTCTCGAATAATAGCCATAAAATAGGTCTTTTGGTCATAAGAGCACCACAGCTCTAAAACAACATAAATCAGTTATTTTTAGTGTGCACACGAGTGGTTTTCTTCTTAGTGTTCTTGTTTTGTACAAACGGTTGTAAAAAAAAAAAAAAAGATCCATTCCAAAACCCATTAAATCATAGACTTAAAACTGAGAACGTTTCCACAATCTGCATGACAAACTATTTCCTGTACGTTATTTCACCCAAATGTCTTCTATTTGTGGAATTTAGATAAAGCTGAATTATTGGACAACTTAAAAAGGACAAGATGTGATCCTTGTGTAAATGTCCAAAAAGACAAAAGGACTGAAATTTGATACTTTTGAGAAAAATATCTAGCAATTATAAGTTATTTTACTCTAGTTTATCTCAGATGAGCTCGAGGCAGAGGGGGTGATAGTTTTCTGGTCTTGTTTAGATATTGTCCCGGCATTAAGAGTTGTATCTAATATTTGTAGGCGCAGAGACAGTTTGCTGGTTGCACTTTATAGATGTGATCCTGGACCCATGAAGTAATTTTCTGCTGTAGAAGTCCATTTTTAATACAGTATTTTCATAAAATCTAAATGTAATGCCATTCAGCACTAGAAACTGAATAAAATAAATCCTCGATTCTTTAAAATGTCAAGTTCTTTGTAACTTTCCATTGAAAATTAGTGTAAAAATGTGTCCATGCACTATTTTGCAGGCTGAATGACCTCTCCTCTTTACAAATTTTCTTATCAGTCATACCACTAATGTTTCCAGTAAACTTTTTTTTTTTAATCACATTGCATTTCTTTTCAGTGTTACAAATATGTTGGCATTAATTCACAAAAGCCAACATCGCCAAATTTAAAGAAACTTAATTTGAACTTTTTGAGAAAATCCTTGCTCTGAATTTTAGATTTCACTCAAAATTACAACTTTGCTTGCAAGGTGCTCGACAGTACCCTGTAAATATGGCTTTTCAAAATACTCTGAAATTTAGCACAAATGGATGTTAAAACTTACATTAGCAGGAATACGACCTGCAGACAACAGAAATATGATTTTCCATCAGCTTTCTGAGCTCATACCTCAGGTTGTGTTGACGATTGACTCATTTTTGCTCTGTGTTGTTTGTATGTCGTCTCCTGCGTCTTCCTGCAGCCTCTGCGTCAAACTCTGGGTCATCTCTGCTCTGCATCTCTGTCCATCACTCCCTTTTTTACTCGTCTGAAACTCGTGATAAAAAAAAAAAAAGACTTGTCTTACTCTTTCTCTCCTGTTCAGAACAAAGGATGAACTACTGGTTTGAACTCCACGGATGGAGACGATGTTGGGACTCTGAACTCATCGTAAAAACTTGAAGACAAGGACTGGGGAGTTCACTTTGCTTTGGAGCCAAGTAGTGCATGAGGGCGGCACTTCTTCCTGGAAAGTATCTCCACACATCAGCTATCGTCACTATCAGCTCCACACATGGCTGCTGACGACTGATAGAGAAGCCTGTAGTGCATCAATGAGAGGCTGAGAGAAAACAAGTTTCACGGTCGTCACACGGAGGCTAACCAGAGATAAACATGAAAAATAAAACTCGCAGCGTACAAACCAGTTCTTTCATGAGCATTTCTTTAATTTGAGCTTTCGATTCAGCCAGAAACAGGAAGGGGAATGAGGTTTTAGCACATCCACTCATATCAAATGTATATAAAAAAAAAATCAGGTTTTAAGAAAAGACAAGGCATCCACATTTAACACAATGATGTACAATATGATGTGTGATCGTATCTAAATTACAGTGATGGCAAAGACAAAGGTGAGACACCGGCACGTAATAGATCAGACATAATACTAGGCGAGCATGCATCACTACTGTCATGTTGGTGGTTCTGTCAAAACAACAAGCACAGAGAACAAGACTGAGAACTGGAACAGCAGAATACACTAAAGTCAGACTAAAATGAAAATAAATGCAAGTCAAATTCAGTACAGAGAGACAACGTGGTAAATAACTGATATGAGCAAACTCAAGTACAATGCTTGAATAATGTAAGGAATAGTGGTATTCACAATAATAGGAGGAAAAAAAACAAAACAAAAACGAGCCCAAAACTATTTTACTGAGCTCAACGCTGCCATCTGCTTCAACACATTTGGTCACTGTGTTTTAACACTTGCAACCTGAAACTGAGCTGTTAGATTCAGTAACCCTGTCGCTCTGACAGGCCGTTTAAATTCAGGCACACGAGTAGTTTTAATACTTACATTCCATCCATAAATTACTTTTATCAAAGGAAAAAAAAAATAGAGAGAAATGCCTACTATTATGCCTCTGTTTTTTAACATATGTGCAGGGATTGTTTGGAGTTAAAGTGACACTAGAAGAATACTTTAATTTTATTATATATATTTGTTAAACTTGAATTCAACATGGCACTGTGCAAGATCACATAACAGGTCCGGTTTTCAGCCATGCTGCTGATGGAAATGAGATTTCAAAATGAGATCCCACAAAAGGAATCTGTGCTCGTCTTGTTTGTTCATTTTTGCATCTTTAAAAAAAGTCAATAAATGACTACATGCATCTAAAAATACTGTTTAAATCAGCTCTTTATGGTTTTTAAGGAATGGCAGATTGTTTTACATTTGCCTTTACACAAAGAGACATGCCTGGAAATCCTGAAAGTCACATCATAGATACAAACAGCAACAGTCACTATTTTTTCCATCTGCTTTTTTTTTTTTTTTTTGGCGTTGCAGGTCTTGATGATTGCAATCAGAGCTGATAGAAAGCACTTTTCTATGCAGGAAAGCATCAGTAGCCGCATTCGCAGGCACAACATTGGACAAAGTCTTCAACCACCAGCCAACCAAAGTGGTGAAATGTGTGTAACGATGAGGCTGACGATACTTTTAACCATTTGATACTACTGTGTCTGTATGAAAGTTTTCAAATGGAAACATATTATTGGTCCTATTTACAATATTTAGGCAATATAGAAAGAAAGGCAACTTTATCAGACGGCTCTTGTGCAAGTTATGCTGTAATTTTAGCGTAAACATTGATTTGGCACAAAACTATGCTACAAGAGGGAGACTGGAACATTAAAGATCTGGAATAAGAACTGAAAAGGAGTTTAGTCCAGTACAGTACATTACCTCTGCACTGGTTAAAGAGGATGAACACAAGAGGAACGCTACGCTGTCTCTGCATGCAGACGCACATTTTCCACAATGCACACTCTCACTTACACACATTTACTGAATAAACTCCTGTTGCAAAGGCAAATGTGCAGCTGAGTAAATCCTGTGCTTTTGGTTTGTGTTTCAACAGCGTTGCTGCAGCAGCCGATCAGTGTGCAGCCTGCGTGGCTCGTTTGGTGTGGCACTTCATGCACAGGATCCTGCCATCCAGTGGGTAGCAGCCATTTTCATCTGCCTCAATGGAGAGAGGCCGAGCACAGTCCTGCAGAGTAAATAAGATACATTTATTAGCACAATGTGTGTTTAAATTTTGAACAGATGCTGGTATCAGATTATATATATTATTTACCTCACAGCGGTAACACTTGAGGTGGAAGTTTTTGTCGAGGGCCACCACTCGGACCGTTTCCTCGCTGCCCGGCGCAGGAACAATGGGTTCATTACAGCTCACACACAGAGGAGAGAAACGCCTGCAGCAAAGAGGCGGAGAGCACGTTAGCTTTTAACAATGGTAAAATATTCACATAAAACCTGAAATAATTAAAAGCCTAGGATTCTTTCAGAGGAATGCATATTGCCCGCCATCTTTCATGTCAGATTTTAAATGATAAAATCCTACTTGGGATAAATCTGGAGCTATAGCGGTTTTTGCTAAACCTTGTAAACGAGATGCGAGAGCTTGCAAGATCAAAGTCAAAGTTTCTTTATTTGTCCTCCCACCACATGAATGACATTGTGTACACAAGATCCCAGTTACATCAAACAAAAGTATAAATTGTAAAGAAAACAGTAATAAAATCTAAGACATGAACCAAGAAATACGCTAAACTAAGAATACGCTAAGCACTAACAGTACAAAAACAATACGCCGAACAGCAGCAGCACAAACATGAGATGAGGATGAATGAAATGAAAAATGAAAGAAAAAAATAATGAAATGAACGATGTGTTAGTGCCAAGTTTATCTTGAAGATGACTGCCACACCAAATTTAGCTCCATATCGGAAAGTTTGACCAAGTTACAGTTATTTCTGTGTTGGTGAAGACAAACATGATAGTGACTAACATTTAATGCTAATAATCTAATTATAGCTCTTTACAACAATCCAAGGGTGATTAGACAGCGATAAATAAAGAGATCGATATCAAATGGGCAAAAAAATTACCAAAGTGCCACTTGTTATTAAAAGCCTGCCCAAATAAAAAGGATTTAAGATTAGATTTAAAAAGGCCAAACTCAGTGATGGAGCGTGGATTTAGAGGAAGTTGATGCTTAAGTGTGTGTGAAGCAACTAAAAAAAGCTGGTTATCATTTGTAACTGGTCCTTGGGAGGCCAAGATGTATTAATTGAACTTAAGGTCTTCTCAAAGGAAAGCTACTAGATCAGCTAAATACGATGGAGCAAGGCCAATAGGAGCCTTTAACACTAGGAGCTTAAAACCAATTGTAAAATGAACTGGAAGCCTTAAGGGAGAGAAAATAAAATGGGTGACATGCTCACGTTTGTGTTACAGTTAAAAGTCGGGCCACAGCGTTTTGGACAAGTTGAAGACGGCCGAGGGAGGATCCAACGTGGAGAGCATTACAATAATCAAGCCTCGAGCTGATGAAGTATGAATGGCCTGTTCCAGATCAGGACGGTTTTAAAAAAGCTTGACTTTGGCTAAAAGACATGATTGAAAATAAGCTGGCCTTGTGTTTGTTTATCGAACTACAAATCCTTGTGAAAAGTCACCCCCAAGTTTTTATTTGAGTCTGATGTCGGAGCATTAAGAAACTTGGTCTTTCCTTCGTTTAAAACCAGGAAATTTTGGTTAAGCCACTGTTCAATGTCACACCAAATGTTAGCTCGCATAGACACGGCAGGAACATTACTGCTCCACCTGTGTCTCTCCAGCAAGTGATAATTAGTTCCTTATGAGCCTGCTAAGAAAGCTGGAGATATAAAAAAACAAGAAGTTTTAAATTGATCCAAACTAATGGAGCGAGCGGTGTTGCTGTGCTGCCTCTCCCCCCAGCACAGTAGCTCGTTTCAGTAATCCTGACAGGCAGGATTAAGCTTTAAAACATCTAAAATTGTCACGACGTAAAACACCAGCTCACCGTAGGCCCAAAATCTTTTCACTCTTCTGTAAGAATCTAACAGAAATGTAACATTTTAAAAGTGTTTCGGGACGCCACCTGTGGTAATCCTGGACACAGTATGGGTTGTTGTTGTCATCGGTGATGAAGGGCGCCCCATCCAGTACGCAGGAGCAGGTGCTGCAGCGGAAACAGTGGGTGTGGAAACTTTGTCCCACAGCCTTCAGCACGCGGTCCGTGATCCTCTCCCCACATCGAGAGCACACGGCCAGAGAACTCTGAGGAGGCACGGATTGGAGATCATTTTTAAACAAGCACACTTCAGAGATTTCTAGGCAGATAAAACACAAATGCTTGTTCCGTTATGTGAAATGTGACCTCTTGGAAGACTGGAAGAAATTCTTGGTGTTGATAAAATAAATTTGAGCCAAAATGACTAAACAGATTGGCTTCAGAATAAATGTTTTTACTCTGGATTTAGTTTGTGACTATTATAGAATAGAATATATTATAGTGAATATCGGTTTCCTCACAATGTAACAGTCTTCGCACTGCGGCGAGCCGTCCCTGTCGTAGAACTGCATGCCCTGCAGGGGGCGGTGGCAGCTCATGCAACAGAAGCAGTTGGAGTGGAAGAGTTTCTCCATGGCCCTCACAGCTGGCTGCGTACGAGACAGAGCCTCGCCACACTTCCCACAAACCTCTGCACAAAAGGCATGACACATGAAAAAGTCAAAGACGATAACTTTCACAAACGTATTCATGTTTTAATGAGTTCCAGAGTTAATGAGAAACTATAATAACTTGTAAAGTCTTAGAACTCATTGCTTTTATTTGGGTTATATAAACTTTGTTGAAAAATCTGCATTTAAATGAGAAGTATAGATTAAAGTAACATGGTCATATATGTGATATCTATCTATTAATAAGAACATTAAACCACTAAAGAACTAAGAACCCTGCAGACCGAGATAAACGCCTCCTTCAGGGACGAGCCTCTGTGCATTTCTTCGAAATTTAACAAGATAAACACCTAAAAACAATTATTTGTTTGCTCTAAATTATAGTAAAGGTGCGTCTCAGTCTAACTTTTGCTTTATAAATGCACTTTGACGGTCAAATCAGCTGCATTTTCAAAAGCCCATATACGAAAACATGAATGCGCAGATGGCGACTCGCTGTCCATTTCTTTGAAACTTAACAACATAACTACCTAAAACAATTATTTGTTTGCTCTAAATTATAGTAAAAGGTGCATCTCAGTTGAACTTTTACTTAATAAATGCACTTTGACGGTCAAACCAGCTTCATTTCGCCGGGGCGGCGCAGTTAAATGAAACTGATTTGGTTGCTCCAGGCAGAACACGGTGGCAGCTTTGGCAAGCCGATTCTGTCATTAATAGCCACTTTTACCCATTACATGATACAATGGCATGCCTTACTACTCGACTGCCATTTAGTGGCTGAAAATGGTAGTGTTCAATATTTTCAGTCAGAATGAATGAAAACGGTCATATCTCAGCCAAAAATTGGTTTATAAATATGGGAAAAAATCCATAAATATGTCGCTTCGGCCTATAAGTCGCAGGGCATGCAAATTATGCAAAAAAATAAAATAAATTCCTGCAACTTCTACAGCTAAAAATACAGTGCTTGTTTAAATGTTTACACCAGTGAGGACACTGAAAAGTATTTTTATTGCCTGCTGCCAAAGACGATAAGTGTTTTTGCTCGTATCTGTGTTTGTAGTGTTAGCAAAATACCTGATAAAGCAGTCGATAGATTTTAATAAAACTTTCACAGTAGAAATTGAATGTGCGTCAACAGCTGTCATCCCAATTTAAGAGGCACGCCACAGCTGATCAACATAAGCAAACATAAAAACGACCGTCATTTTTACAAAAATATTGAGATAAATTTGGTAGTAGACGAGTCGTCCTCAACACATAATCTAAGAGCTAACAGATCATGTGAGATCTTCCAGTATCGCTTGAGTTGGCACAAAGTCATTTAGAGGGTTTGACCAAAACAGCTAGCTGCCATAATAAGATGTTCTACGTTTAAAACTTAAGCAGGTGATATGATGGGCCTTTAACATGTTTAATGAATATTTTCAGTCAATTCTTCTTTTCAACCTTTGATAATTTCTATAAAAATCTGCTGCTCTCGGTGACATCCTGAATATTTATTCAAAATGCAAAAACTGGCAGCAGCTTAATGACAGCAATTAGCAACAATGACAGCTGCCATTCATCTCCATTACCACATATAAACCTGGCGTGAAGTTGTGTTTAATGATTTTCTAATCATGTAGGGGAGTTTGACTGCACGAGTGATGGTGTGTGAGGTTGTGTGCATTCCTCTGAATATGTATGTCTGTACCTGTTGGAGGGGAAGTGATGATAGGAGCCTGTCTGTCCATGTTTCTGATGAAGTCCTTCGTCATTTGCTCGAGCTCCTCCACTTCCCTCATGTTTAGAGGGGCACCGCCACCTGGGATAGGAACTGGGCCAGGAGGCGATGGCTGCTTGAAATAACAAAATCAAACATTACACATGTATTCACCATTTTTATAGTTTAATACCGCATGCACAAATTATCACGTTTTTGCTGTAAACTAAATGTTTTGTACTTTGAGCCTTTTTGCGATACAAGCAAAGCTAAAAGCTGGAAGGTACCGTTGATGCAGGGCTGGTTTTCATCGGCTGGGTAAAGGAGGAGGATGGAGGCGCCATCATCTTGGGTTGAGGAGGAGGCACAGCAGCAGAAGGGTTCTGGTTTGCATTCGCATGACTACCAAAAGGAGAAGTCTTTACATGATTAGGGGCTAGGGGAGCAGCCACATTATAAGGTGCAGGTGGAGATGCAGCAGGAGGTGCAGGTGGAGCTGCAGCAGGAATTACAGGCGGAGCTGCAGCAGGAATTACAGGCGAAGCTGCAGCACGAGGTGCAGGCGGAGCTGCAGCAGGAGGTGCAGGCGGAGCTGCAGCACGAGGTGCAAGTGGAGCTGCAGCATGAGGTGCAAGTGGAGCTGCAGCATGAGGTGCAGGCGGAGCTGCAGGAGGAGGAGGGAATGAGCTGGTGGCTATGGAAGGGGAAGATTTTGGTGCAACGCTAGTTTGGTTCAGGTTCTGGTTGATTTTTTGGGCCAGTGAGGCAGACGATGTTGTGCCCTTCGCTCCAAAATTGGATTTGGGAGCCACAGCGGGGGCAGCGTTTGGACCGGAGCTGTTATTGGAGTGTCTGTTTGTTCTGGCTTTCAGTTCTTCTGCCCAGGGTGCAGGAGGAGGGCGGTCTCCCATCTCAGCAGGTGGTAGAAAGGAAAGTGCTGGTTTGGGAGCTGTTGGAGGGGCTGAAGGTCTGGATGTTGGTGCTGCTGAATACTGGCTGGGTAACTGTGGATAAATAACAATAAAACAATATCTTTATGGATATTTAAGTCAAAAGGAGCAACACAAATACTTTCAGTGGGAGGGCGTACAATTCTTCTATCACCAGAACTATAATTCACCAGACAGAAAGTTCCTAACTGATTAAATCCATTGCTTATTAAAACTCTGCAAGCAGACATTTATACTAAATGTGAAGGATTGAAGTAAAACCTGGAAGTGCTCCACAGTCTGAGCTTATCAGAAGGACTTCATCTTTCTGACATTTATTTTGCGATTTTGAGCCAATGGTATTCTGCTCTGATTCAGAACCTCCCAGTCAGATAAAACGCTCCATTTAAGGCCCTTTCACTGCAGCTCTGGCAGCGCACGCTGGCTCGCTCTCGCGCTCTCGCGCTCTCCACTCGCTTCAGTGTGCATCGCTCTCCCGTTCTGCACGAGTCTCTCTTCACGCTACGAATCACCAGCAACCTTACCATTTTGTTTTCTCGTGCCGTCTGCTGTGCACTTCACTTCTAATTGAGCTTTCAACCTCAACAGATGAGCGGCTTATGAAACTACCTTGGCAAGTCTTCACACAGCGTCCACTGATGACCAGCCTCGCTTTACTCCCTCCCTTCAATGTTAAGTCGTGCTGAATTCCTCTGAGTCAACATCTGCTGCCACTTTCTCTCGTTGCCATTTCTCGTCATATGACGGATTAATTGGAATGTACGCCGTTTGTTTGGGTGTGTTTCTTGTTGGTTGTGCTGTGTACCTTAGGATTAAAAGGTCCCCTCGTTTCCATCTCCGACAACAAACCAGTCAGAGAATCAAGTTGCTTATCGAAGCTGGTTTGCTTCTCCATTGTTCTCTAGCAGAAGAGCACAGGAGAGGAAAATAAACACAGAAAGGACATTTAATGAACAATCATACTAAAAAGAAAAGGTATTTATAGAAAATTGAAGAATAAACGATAAAAACAAGTTGGAACAAACTGCAAAATGAAATGGCATCAAACCAGTTCATAAAATTTGGGGATGGAAACTCCATCTTCTGAGGATAGTGGTGAATAAACAACAACTTCATTAAGGATGACAAAACAATTAATATTTTATTTGTTTCCTGGTTAGAGAAGAGTTTGTTCACCAAAAAGCATTTAGCAGAAATTCTGTTCATTCAAACATGTTCACTTTGGATTTAACCACCCATTGTTTTTTTTAGTTATTTTAATGAGCTGTACCATTTATGTTTTTAATCCAACTCATTTTTAGCTTAACAAATCAGCTCGAGTCAACTCTAAAACATCTGCGAATCTGTCATTTCTAAAGGCAAAAATTAGCAATAATCCTCTTAGAAGCTTAAAACTTGTCAAGATAAATTCATCAGAAAAATTAAAAGTAAAAAAAAAAAAGGTCAGCAAATATTTATGGTCACATAATGTTCTCTAACATCCAACTGATTCTGAAGCATGCAACACAAAAACAGAATCATGCAGGCAGCAGTGTTTAAAGCACTGTGACTCACCTGTGGGGTCCCAGCAGCATTAGGAACACTGGTACTGGAGACAGGAAGTGGTGGAGGAGGAGGAGGGGGAGGAGGGGGGGGACAGGCAAGAGGACAGGCACTCTCCTCAGGGGGAGCAGGGAGGGGCAGGTCATCCACCAACGGAGGTGGAGCAGGGAAAGCAGGAGCAGCATCAGAGGATGGGTGGTGGCATTCAGGGGGAGGGGCTGGCAAATCATCCAGTGGAGGAGGAGGGGGTGGGAAGTCTGTCAAAAATATAAATAAATGAGGAGGGTTGATTGGTTAATGTTGTCCCAAAACAAACTTTTTATTTAACTTATGATGGTGATCAAGTTTTGTGTCACAGTATGATAAATATGTTTAGATAAAAAAAAATTAAAGGGGAATATAAAAAGGAAACAAACCCTAAAAGGCTGATTTCGCTAAAAGAGCGCTCTTAAAATGCTGCATCTCCTAAACTGACAGGTTTTTACCAGGAGGTCATGAGCCACAAACCTTTGACTTTTGTGGCTTCACTAAGGAACTGCAGCCAATGAAGGTTTAAACAAAAGTACCATAACAGCACATTATATGCCCGTCGACAAACTATAAAGATATTATATAGCAATCTATAACAACAGCCCGGACAAGCAAAGGCCTTGGATAACATGTGACCTTGAAGCAGGGGTGATGAAAAGTGTACGCTACACTCAGTCTAGAGATGATGCACAAGTTCCGTTAATTATACAGGACCAGAGAAAGTTTACAGATGAACAGACTATACAATAATACATCCTGCCTTCAATGGATGCGTACTAAACGTAAATACAAAAAACTTTAGGGATTTTCTTAGTTCCTAGTAAACAGTAGGTAGGAGCTTTTCAAGTATCAGGGGAACCCATTATGATGCAACTGTATGGCATCAGTTTCAGATGATGCAAGTGTAAAAATGAAGGCTCAGACGTGTGTGTGTGTAGTGACTGGTTAAAGGCATGAATGCAGCACCAGAACCCCCCTTATAGAAATAAACTGTGAGCATCTGTAAAAATGTTTTCATAAGCCTTTGAAATTGTCAACAAAAGACAAAAACGATCAGTAAAGTCCAAGGTTTAGAATATGTCAAGAGCAAAAACACCCTATAAGGTTGAGTTATCTACTAACTCAGCACATCAATGCAGCTTACATCAGACTGCAGGACAGGATCAATCAAAAAATTTAATCTAACACTCCAAACATTTGAAAATACATTTATCCTGCATTTATTTATGTTTGCTTGTAAGACGTTTTTCCCATCGTGTTTTCAGGTGAATAATTCTAAAAACTGCCAACATAAATCATGTTTAATCAGCTGAATGGACATAAACACACAATCTGCCTCTTCATGAACAGGCACGAACCTCAGCAGGCTCCCTTTAACGACGCTCATTTGTCTTTTTGTGATCATGAATGACACTGTGGACTCAGTCATAAGACGACAGCAATGGGATGACTTGAAAATAACAAACTTCAACACCACCACACAGTTCTATTCTGGTATACGCAGAACAAAGACGCTCTGCACGCTCCAGCTTAAGAAGCAACAGGGAGCTGTAATAGGGAAAAGATGAGTGCACAGGACTAAAAGACATTTTAAAAAGTCAAACAGCTTAGATACCATCGCAGAGTGAAGAGGGTGGTGGAGGCAGGTCCCCAACTCGACCGATAACAGCTGTGCCGAGTGGCGTTGGTGATGGAGCTGTGGGAGGAGTCAAACTTTTAGGCTTTGGTGGTGCCACAGAAGCGAACTTCTTCGGCTGGTTGTAGAAGGATGGGGTGGTGACTTTGAAGTTGAGCGACGATGTCACCACACACGGCTTGCTGCTGCTGGAGTCCTCCATTTTGTGCATGTATCTGAAAGAAAACGAGCAGTCGGTCAACGAACAAGATCGCTTTCAAGTCACGTGAGAAGGGCTTCTGTAAGGTTAATCCCAACCACACCGCAGTCTGGATTTCTGTTCTCATACCCAAACAATTAACGCAACCTTCACCAGCTGACAAAAGTCGAAGTGTTCACATTCCTCAGCAGAATATTCCCATTTGGCCTTTTGCTGGGAAGTCAGTGGGGATGACACATCAATGAAACATTTGGCCTGAAAAACTGCACACTAATCAAAACCAGCTTCAGAGGCTGTACTCCTGAAACAACAACAAAAAGAGTAGAAAACAACGCTAATATACGTTCGGAGCACCAAGGATGCTGGGCTGGCTTTTACTGGGCATTAAAAATGAAACAAAAAAAGGAAAAGCTGCTTTAGCTGTAATCATAAATGTCAAATCAATACACTGCAGATTAGTTCCCATTTTTTATTTATTACCTTGGATAACAGTGTCTTGACATTTATTGTGGCTTGTTTGTCTTACTGTGCTTTATTTGGAATAGTTATGTTATATAGTAGCAAAAAAAAGTATATTAGTCTGCAAATGTGTTTTTCTTAAAAGAAAAGAGCTTGAGCAAGAAAAATGTGTGAAAATGTCCTTAATCCAATATAGTGCTGACAAAACAACTCCCTGAAGCCAGTGACAATTTACAACACTGTAACTCCGAGCTGTTTACAGTCATTTAAAGCACGGCAACGGCACGGTTTGTAGAAGCACAACCACTTTTCTCAAGAGACAAGAGCAACCAGCAATCCTAACATTTTTAAGGAAGTTGCGTAAAACGGAGGTTGATCTCAAATATTTACTTCACACATGCGGGTGGTTAAACAAATATTGATGCTGCTCTGGTCTCTGCCAAAAAGGAACAAAGTAAGCCCCAAATACGTGACCTGTGCTGGTAAAAAGAGTCCGAATGAGCACAAGCTGCAGGGAAAAATAAGTGAAGAAGTTTGATCTTTGATGTAATTGAGATTTGTTTAAAAAAATGAGTGCATAAAGACGTCATCCAGCGGTCCCTGTAACTGAAATGGCAAATACTCTACCTATTCTACATTTAAAAAGTTATGTCTTCAGAAACAAGCCTTTTGTTTTTAACACATAATTCCCTTTAAAATTTATCCTTTTTCTCTGCTGGTTGTCATAGCACCAGGAAATCCCTTTGTATAATGTTTGAAATCATTAGTCTGAGTTTGTTGGGGCTCCTCAGATTGAAGAAGTCCTTTGGATGAAGAACGAAATGTCTCAACAAAAAAAAGAAACTGTCCAGATGACGTGACTGAACTTTGTTGGATTTTTTTTCCCGTGGATTATTGAGCATGAACTTTGATGTCTTGGGGATAAAAGTTTTTAAACACTGAACTGGAGTTCTCAAATACATCACTATAGACCAATTAAAAAAAAAGAAAAGATACATTTCAAACTGTTAAAAAAAAAAAACTACTGGTAGCTTGTTGCCTCGTAATAAACTGCCAAACTTCAACTAACTTCAATTCATTTTAAAGCTTTTGAGATGAAGAATTTGAAAGCAACTCTGCTTTGTGACTCATTTTTTCCAGCATGGATCACATATGTACTTTAGAAATACTATACATTTTCCCACAAATTCCCCATATCTACCAGTATAAAGCGCTCATGTCTCAACATTTTTGCTAACACCACATTTAAATCAACATTAACAACGGTCCTCTCAAGTTTCTACAAGACTACAGTACATCCTCTTATAAACGTTATAAACTACAACTGTTGCAAAAAAGGAAGCTTCAGCGTTCAGAGTTCATATGAAGGCTTTGACAGGTACAAGTTGATGAGGTTATATAGCCATAAAATAATACATTGCACATGGAAGCAATTAGTCAACATGAAGTCGATGGACCTATCTTACTGTTGTGACATTTACTCTCCATGTCCTGATGCAGGTCGTTACTACCAACGTCTGTATAAATGTCAGGTACTACAAGCAACAGAGACGAGCTACGTTCAGCTCCATTTGTACAATTCAACGAGGCATGAGTCAAAACTGCAGCAACTCAGAGAAGCAGATGGTTATAAAAAGGCACGATCGGCTTTCCAAAAGAATGTGGCGAATCAAGTACTGTATGTTCGTACGTACAGTAAATATGTTCCTGCATACTGCATGAATTATAGAGTGCAACATCTTGGTGCATTTTTCTCTGCGTCTGAGCCAAATGAAGAGCAAAGAAACATAAATCTGAATGTTTTCTGCAGCGTTTTGAGCCATACCGTGGCTTTTCTTGGCTACGAAGTAAACAGCATGTGTCCCAGCTGCAGAGATCACGTTTTTACCAGGTTTGTTACAACCACAATAAATTATTTAAAAGTCAGCAAAGTTAGGAGGAATTCCCTCTAGTTAATGCTCAGTCCAATAAGTCATTTTTAAACCAATATTTACAAAGGATCCCATCCACCAACAGTGTGTTTTTCACAACCAAAGCAAGCTCCACATGCTTTTATAAACACTTACAGCTATTTAATGACTTGCTGTTTTGAGAAAACTTGGCGTTTTAGAGATTTGTGCGCACGTATAAATATTGTGCACACACTGTAGATTTATCTGGAAGAGGTTTGTCCAAACAAAATCGAACAGCATGAACGTGACCACTGCCAAATGCTGTAGTTTTAATAGATTTAATGTTTTATAATGCGTTAATAAAAAGCGCACTGTTTTCTACAGCAGATACAGCTGGATTGGCATTTTAGGTTTCATTGTTTATAGAAAATAAATGTACTTATATGTTTGCAACGAGGCCTAAGTTCTACTGATAAAGTAGTTCATGATGAATTTAGTCCGAACGCTAAAACTGTTATCCCAAAAAATATTTAAAATTAGAATATTGGATTACTTGATAGGTAAACAATTGTTTACAAGAGAGAAATGTTCACTTTTAAAAATATCAAATTGTCCCTGCGTTCTCCCAATTAATGTTTTTATTTTCCATTAATTTTATTGAAAAGAAACAGAATTAGAAACATATTTCCAGAAAAAATTAGTTAAATGTAGTAAGAGTTAATGAGAAATGTTTATGATGAGACCATAAGTTGCTGCTAAAACAACTCTTATAAGAAAGCAGGATTCCTTTTTTTTTTTAAATATAATTGTAGGATAGTTTTGTAGGATATGCCAAGCTGACAAACCAAATACAATTCAACAAAACCGTGGTCTGTCAAACTTATTTTTTTCTTTATATTGACGCTCAAATGTTTTAACCACTGCCTTTTAGCTGTAATAAAAGCTTCATATCTGTTCCTTTTCACTATTCCACCTATATTGTTCAGAAAAAGAGCATATGAATCATTAGGAGCAGGTGGGGACGCTCTAATGGAAAGTCAAAGAGGAGTTCATCTTTTTTTTGGTGCAGACACAAGCAAATATTGACACCTGCAGCAAAGGAGAAGTAAAAAATTACAACAAAAAAAGAAGTTGTGGAGCAGTTTGGAAAATATCTGGCAAACGTGTTTTGTATGAAGACCTGCTAGATTTAGGATGAAGAGGAGCTCTATCAGCAGAGTACTCTAACCAGAACACTTAAATCCATTATGAGTCCTAGAATAGTGCAGACTGTGATTAGGTCTTGTAATTGAAGTAGTGAAGGCTCCTCGTCTTTAAAAGACAGTCTTGTAAATTATTCAACACGGATGATAAGTTGTGGTGAGGTTTCAGCTTCTCCTTGATGCAGTCCAGAGGGATTCAGTCTGGTGAGATCAGCCCAGACCTTCTACTACAAATCCATCTTGAAACATGAGACCCTCTGCTGAGGGACATTTCTGGCACAACAACTCACTGACATCACTTTTTCCCCCCCTTTTCCCGTTTCCATTTAATCGACTCTCTCGAAGCGTCTGCAGCTTTACTCTGTTATTTTTAATCTTTCAATGAGGAGGAACCAACATTTTGACTTGCTTTCACAACCAGAGGTGCAGATTAACGCTGTGTGGCAAAGCACAACAACCTCTTCAGCCTTTCATTCAACCCTCACCCACTGAATGACATCACTTGAAACCGCATTCACTCGTTTCCACTCTCCAGCTGAGATGTGAGGTGGCTTACGTTGCAACCAGTAAGGGCCCCACAAAAATCACACAATGTCCTTACACTTTTAAACCTAACTCCATACATCCAGGCGGCTTTTAGAGACTAGAAAACTGTTTCTCACCAAGGTTTTGAGATAAAACATCAGTTCTTAAGTTCTGCAAAAATATCACAGTTCATGCTAAATTATCCAGCACAGTTAATTTAGATCCTGTGGAAGCCTCTTGGATGAGGGGCGAAACGTTTCTTTTTAACAAAAAAAAAACGAAGTCCAGATGACATGATTCAACCTTTTTTGTTGTTATATACCTGGATGACTGAGAAAACAAACTTTGTGATCCTGTGGATGGTTTCTTTGTGTTGAAATGTTTCATCCTTCATCCATAGGGCTTCATCAGTCCGAGGAGCCACAACAAACTCGGACCCACAGGCAGCACATCACATAGTGGGTCAACCAGTTTGATGGAGATAAGATGGTTTCTGGGGTCTGCCCTCTCCCCGTTAACTCTTCTGAGGCAGCCATGGCCAAAGACCCTGCATTCGCCATTTGACCACAAATCTATCACGAAGAGAAAGCCACACTTTTCAGCCCACAGACTCCTCCATGTCTGCATCTTCATCCAGGAGTTTTTGGCCATTTGACTAATTTAGTGTGTTTGAAGAGCACAGTTGAATGTCCAAGCACATTTCTGCATTGATGAACACGTCAACAAATTTCTCACCAATCACACAATACTTGGCGTATACTCCTGCAGTGTTTCCCCTAGTTAACTTGACATGGCGGGGTGCTCATCTCATCCATGATTTTTGTTGGGGGGGGGGGGGGGGGGCATGTCTGAGCGCAGCTTGTACAAAAGTTTTTGAGGTGTGTGTGGGTGTGGGGGCGCTTCAGCATGAGGGAAGAGGCGCCTTTAGCTTTTAGCTAGAGCACCTGTATTGTGCGCTGCTAGCTTAGCATGACACGTTTGAGCTGTGCACTGTTTATACAGTTTTTGAGTGTGTGTGTGGTGGTGGGGGGGGTTGTTCAGCTTGAGAGAAAAGGCAACGTGAGTGCTGCCTTTAGCTTTTTAGCTAGAGAGTCTGTATTTCGCTCCGCTAGTTTAGTGCTATGTCAGTGCCGGATGGGGTGGGGGAGTTCGGTTTGGTAGGAGGGGTGCTCAGTTCTGTTGACGGGGTGGGGCACCCCGCTTGTATAATGGTAAGGGAAACACTGCTCCTGCGAGAAAAAGTTTGGCCCGGGCCTTGTGCCGAGAAGTGGAGGGCGAAGCTACTCTGAGAACAAAATGATTCAATTTTAGTCATGCAGCTACATCAGAGAGACGATTTCGCCACTTCAGATGGAGAATGCAGGGCCCTTAAGTTTGAAGAATCACAAACTACTCTTAGGTACGCAAAGCAGAGACAATTTTATTTTTGGGGGGTTGGGAGGGGTGTTCACCACCTCGACTCAATTACAATATAATATTACGCATTTTTACTCTCCCATTCCTTTGCATGACAGCTGTTTACTTTATTTCTATTTGCTTTACAGCGTGTTTGTGTTGCTTCTGTAACTTTGCCTGCTAAGATTGTTCTACCACAGATCAGCCGAGTCCAGCAGAAGTGGTTCTGTCTTACCAACCAACACTCCTTCCTCTGTATAATCTGACTCATACAATCCTCTTATTGTTACCAAAAATGGAATTTTGTCTTCACTTTTGTAATCACTCTTTTTTTGTCCCCTGTTGTTTTAGGATAAGACTGGTGAAACTGCAAGTCAGGACTGATTTGCGGTGGATTTTTACACCAAGACTTAGAGCACACATTTAGGATGCTTGGTTGAAAAGATAGCAACACACACACACACACACACACACACACACACACACACACACACACAAAACCACTTGTCTTGCGCAAAAATGACATGGTGTAAAAAATAAAAACATGGCGTTTGCTAAAAGGTCAAGAAAAGTTTTGAGACCAAATTGTTTCATTTGGCAGAAATGCACCCTGCTCTCTAGCTCTTAGTTCAACTCCCTCAAATAATTGTTCTTTAAAACATTACAAAAAAAGAACCTCTACTTTGTAAGTGATAAATTCCTTCTCTAAAACCACTATGGTCATACCAGCTCAGTAATTTTACAAATAACAAAAGGTGAAAGGTTATTAAAATGATAAACATAACTTTAGCCTTTAAATGTATGTGTACTCTTGCCTGTACCAATACAATAAAATACATTAAATTACTTACAGAAAACCTGAAATTCTGACAGTAAGTCCAGTCATTCCCTTCAGTATCTAGTACTATAATGCTGCTGATGAACTCTCTATTGTCTGGATGTTAATAACACACCCAGTTTTCTGGGAAAGTCCGTCTAGGCCAGGGGTCGCTAATGCAGACAAACAACTCTTTTCAATCCAATCTTACAGGTCACTGAGTATGCAGTGTGTGACAGCGTTGCATTGTCACTCATTAAAAGGGACATGATGTCAAAACCTGTATCAGCCACTGGTTTCTGTGTCAGACTATCCCCCCCTGCTCAACGACCCCGTCTGCTCACACCAACATGTTGTGTAATGGAGGCTAAAGAAGAGTCACAAGACAGCAACAGACTCAATCAAAGCATGAACATCCCACCACAGTACGCTCTAAATTGTTACTGCAGAGCACTAATTTAGTTACTTCAATGCAACAACATGACACGTATAGGAAAAAGATGCCATAGGGTTTCAGGGTGCAGCAGTAGTTTAAACTGTCGCCTCCCAACAAGAGGTTTAAATGGTTCATCACCTGTATTGGACTTTTCAGTGTGGGGTTTGCAAGTTCTTACTGTTCATGCATTTGTATTCTCTTGGTGTCCTCCGCTTCTCTAGGAACACTGCATGGCAGGTGATGAAAATGGATGGAAGGATGGTTGTGGTAATATTATTCTGCACTCTGTTCAGGTTTGTGGAGACCTGATTTGAGCAGTCACATACTGTTCTTATACCAAATATATGTGTGATTTGCCAGTCAGAAGGTAACCCATACCTGCCCAGGACTGCGCAAAAAATTTAAATTGTGTTTGTGTCACAACGAGGATGTTCACAACATTGAGAGGTAGATTATTTTCTTAAGAGTTCTGTGAAATGTTACCTCCATTTACAACCATGGACAGTCCATTAAAAACAAGGCAGTATTAAGGCACTTTCACTATGACGATCTGCGATAAGACAATTATAGCCTTTTATCTGAACAATAAGTACGATAGATAGTAAGTAGGTTGATAGATAGGTGGGTAGATAGACAGGTAGATATATACTTTATTAATCCCAGGGGGGAAATGTTATTAGGCTTCTCTTTAGCTTCAGACATTTTAACTCTAATGGTGGACAAGTCTGAGTTTTCAGAACAAAACTATTGAGGAAGCAGATGAGCTTCCTGTGTATATTGAAAATACGCTTTATCACAAGTTGTTTACTGTAAAATTAAGTCCATCTTTTATGTCTCGGACTTGTCAGTCCATTTTTTGTGTGGTTTTAATAACCCTGAAATGGACTCACGTTTATTCAAACGTTTATTACACTATTAACATTATTATTATTAAACTTGTCATTCTGATATATAGCTTTGCATATTCTATGAAATGTAAAACTAAAATACATTTTCAAATCAAAGTATTGTTCCATACAAAACATTTTTTAAGTGAATTATCTAAAATTATACACACTTCTGTAACAAACCGGTCTATTATTATGAACTGTGCGACACTGAATCTAGTTTGTTGTTGCTAACGTTCCAATATTTAGTCTTTCCCATTAACGAAGGCCTCCTCAGTCGACCTGAACACTGATTTATGACCAGATTTATGATCTTTACTGATGCTGCTCGACAAAACAAGCCTCGACATGTTGGCAGCTTTAACCAACACTGACCATTACTTGCTCAGCAGCTGAATAGTGCAGCCATAGGTCGCAGCTCCATAAAACCTGGTTCATGGTCGGCAAAGCTAACGTCGCGTGCCATATGTCTTCACGGTTAACTGTTAGCCTTCGACGCTACTCGATGTAGCTAAAGTCGCGTTAGCTTGTGCCGTTACCGAGACCGACTGGTTTGCAAAAGAGGTCATATTTATCGACGACTGACGAACTGACACTCACCTCCGACCTCCAAAAACCTTTGAAACTCATCGACTGTGTGTAAGGGTGGCTTCGTGTTGTGCCGAAAAAAGTACCCCTTCCGGGTGAAGCGCCCCTCGCGCATGAAGACAAAACTAACAAAGTTATCATCTCATTTTCATATGCAGGTACTGTGCAATGTGTTTTTAAACGTTGAACAAGGCTGCCAAGGATACGCACACCCCCTGGATATGTATACAATAAACCGTTGCTCCAAGCATAAAGTATTTTTGAAAGTGAATTTTGTGAGTGTTACTCACTCAGCTTGGCAGCCTACTTTGCTGTAAACATGACGTGCTACTTCGACTTTTACTCCCATTTTCGAGCGAAAATTAGTTTCTTCCGGTGACGCGAAAGATGCTTTAACTGTAGGGGTACCGTTTTCGGCACAACACCAGTCGGACTGCTTGCAGCGAACACACCCCACCACGTTAGCCAACGTTGCACGCGTTGGTCAATCGGTTTCGGCAGTCATAGGAGCTAACACCTCCCCCCATTACCTCATATGGAAACGTCGCCGGTTTCTGTCATCAACTTTATTAACCCACCACCTCTACGGAAAACGTAAAATTCGCATCGCTAGCTCACCTAGCTAAATCAACCTTTTTTTTTTCCAGCTCGACTTCCTGTCGGAGCTTCCGCATACCCCGTCCCTTTTATCGTGGGTGACCATCAGCCCGGTGTAAAACACAAAAACAGTCCAGGGAGGCTTCTTCTTCTCCACTGATAAAACGCAGGTAAAGCCACGACCACCAACCACTGTAATAGTTTTTATGTATTTATTCTCTACAAAACTATTCACGGGTAGATTCAGAGCTGAGTCACATTGCAAAAATGGCATGCCATTATGCGTTTAGTCTGAAAAAAAAAAAAGCTGTACCAAGACACAAACTAAAACACATTTACCCTATTAGGTAACCTACAGCTGCCTGTCCTTACGTTCCCATTTTACTGTAAGATATAAACTTACTTGACCCAGCTGCAGTAGGTGTCACCTTCTTCCCTTTGAGTCTTTTCTCTTCTTGGTCCAGAATGAGTAAGAGCTGCCTCCTAACTTCTGTTTCTCTCTTCCTCTCTCCACAGCTTTTAGACCCTCCCCTTGTGCTTCTCAGCCTGGAAAAGGAATGACACCATCCTCCCAAACAAGTTCTTTCTCGTTCGACTTTGACTCTGGACTTGCATATTTCTATGTAAACAGCACCATTCTCCCTCTCCTCTTTTATCTCTGTCTTCTTGTTTTCTGTGTGTTCATACGGTCCAGTTAGAATAGACACCCTCCTCGCCCCCCACTCCTCCTGTCTTCCTCTCCTGCTCTCCTTTTCTCCCTGGATTCCTGCAGCATTCTTTCATTCGGTGACATCAACTCCTGTTGCCTCTCCATGTAAGGTCAGGCTGGGGGAACGAGGGAGCCGAAGAGGTGGGGGGGAGATAATGGAGCTTGATCTGATGCAGACAGAAAGTGGTCAGGGGTTTAAACAAAAGGAGGTGCACACAGCGTCTGAAATGTTCCAGTTTTATTGTAAGGAACATGTTTTTAGGTTTTATAAGACTAGACCTTGTGAGTCTGCTGCTACATAAATCTTTCCTTTTCTTTGAGATATTTAACACAAAATGGACTACAGTTTTTCATCTGTCATATGAGGATGTGAGGACTTTCAGCCTATGTGTGGCACCTCCCATCCTGTAACTCAGCCAGATTATCATGAACGTCATTTCATGTGTCACTCACACCTCGCATCCTTGTGACCATTTGAGTCATATCACACATTTTGCTGTAGTTACTGCTGCTCGTTGACAGAAATAAGCCGTTAATCGTGTCCACATGTGAAGTCCATCCATCCATCATCTTTTACCCGCTTTTTCCATTTTGGGTCACGGGGGTTGCAGGTGCCCATGTCCAGCAATCACTGTGCGAGGGGCGGGTACACCCTGGACGGGTCGCAAGTCCATCACATGGCCCACATGAAGTCATTATTTATATATTTGTAATTTTAATAATCAAAAAGTCACTTTTTTGAAGATAAAGTAATAAAAGTGCTCAACAAATTAGGGCTCTAGATCAAGAAGTTGAGCTTAAATAGAACAGGAAGTGTCACTTTCACACCTTTTTCTTCTGCTATTCTAGGATGTCATTTAAATCTAAACATTTTTTTTTTTCTTTGCCTCACAGGAAGATGAAATGAAGTGTTCATCTAAATAAGGACGTGTTTTCAGGCTGCAACCAAGCCTATATTTTTTATTATCACCCGTCGTCAAAAAGCAAAGATGATCATGTTTTTGATCATATCTTTGCGTGTTTATGTTTGTTTGCAAAATATCTTGTGAACCACTGGAAGAATTTTATTGAAACTTTCAGAAAATATTCATCATATGTATTGATAACTTAGGCGGCCACATCTAAACATTAGCCAACACCAAAATGATTATAACTCGGTCAGTTTTTACAGAATATGATTTGCATTGTGAAGCGGTAGTAGCTGAGAGTCATCCACAACATATATTTAAATATGACGTCTCGTGATACGATGATTTTAGCCTAAAGCTCTGGCATGAAAAGCCTTTCTTCAATAAACGACCTTTAGTTTTATGTTTTCTAAAATTTTCTCAACATAACATATTGATTGATCTACAGTAATAAACATCAATGAAATAGTTTTTGACCATTATTTGTGCATTGTTTTAAACATATTAGTCAGGGAAACACAAAGTAGCTGCTGCAAATATCTCAACTCAATCAGAATTTTTTTTTATGTTTATATGTGGTTAAAAGTTGAATATAAAACTAAATATTTGAGAGCAAATGTTTGCCACCATTTCATGTCACCTCCCACAGGATTCATGTTGAGACACGGCTGAGCTGCGCTCTGCTCAGGTTGTGAAACTCCTCTGACACACGGTGTGCAAACCTCTGCAGCAGCTGTTCTCGAACCTGTTGCTGCTCGGGTCACATCTGTGAACTACAGGGAGTGGCGCGTTGGGGTCTTTGGTAGCCTATTGTCCCATAAAGGAATGTTTCCAGTTTCCAGTCGCTCGCTGTTTCCATTTCCACTCCAGGAATTCCACCACGACTCTGGTGAGCCTGCATCCAAAAGCACCCCCCCCCCACCCCACCCCGCCTCCGCTGCAGCCTCCCAAACCCCTGACAGTAAAGAATATTTCTGTTGATAAGGTTGTCTTGTGTTTGACAGGTGAGAGGAGTCGGCACAGCTCGTGTTTGCATTTCCAGCCGTAAAAATGCTCCGAGGTGCTGGGCGACTGCTTATTGGATCAGGCAGGAAGGAAGGCAGCGATGAGGTTCAGTAAAGGTATGAAACATAAAATCAGGAGGCCATCAGAACCAGAGCCAGACAGCCTGGAATGCAGCCAGACCTTGGAATGAACACCCCTCCTCCTCCGCTCCCTCGTCCCTCTCTCTCTCTAATATTTTCTCTCCTTGTCTCCGTAATGCAGCATATTTTTTTCAACACTTCTCCTTTTGTCATCTCCAGATTTGTTGCTTATGGTGCACTTTTTTATTTAATTTGTTTTGCCAACCCCCCCCCCCCCCCCCCCCAATGGACTCACTTCTAACTCCTCAGACCTTAACGTTTACAAGTTAATTATTTTCACTCACTTTTCTCAAATGTTTTATTTTTCTTCTTAGAGGGATATTTCTTTTTTTTTTTATTAAATAAAATGGGCAAAGTAAAATACATAATCAAAAATAGACCATACAAAACTATAATTTACATTGACTTGATGAAATAAAATCCAATATTTTGTGTTTTGGTGTTTAAATTCAACCCAAAATTGCAACAACGAAAAAAAAATGAAATAAAATAAAAAGTTGCTCAAACCGTATTTGATGATTTAGAAAACATTTAGAACCAGAAAAATAAGAATTTAATGTCTAAACATTTCCTTTTGTTTAGCTGGAACCAACTATGTTGCTGTTTCTTTTCGTTATTTAGCTTTTAGAAGTTTGTGCAGTTGCAGGTTGAGATAAACAGGAATTAATGCAGTCATTAAAATGGATTTAACAGCTGTAACACGATACGACTAAACCCATGACCCCAGTGCTCAATTTGAGACGGATCCTGCCGGAAGAGGATCCAGGAACTCTCTTATTTTGACAGGGTATGCTCTTGGATCTGGCAACTCTCAGGTTTACTAATAATAAAGTTATGAACATATATGACTGCCTTGAACAAATAAAACATATTGGATATGTAAACTGAAAATAATTACATAAACACTCATTTTAAACACAACAGACGACACAACACAAATTCTTAATATCACATACAATCATCTGCCCCTTCAAGTGAATCATTTCTGCATCTACCCTTAAAAAAATCTCCATCCCTAAAAGAGTGGTGGGGGTGAGTGCCTGGAAGTTTCACCTGTGGAGTCGGCCAATGAATTCAGCGGAGAAGAGTTGGCTCAGAACCGTCAAGTGTGGGCGGTACGATGCTTGACAGAAGCAGAGCGTTTACAAATGTAGATAAACATCGATGTTTAACCCGTTAAAATACATCAAAGTTCAGGCAATATCTTTTATTCAAAATTTTCTGGGGAAGGACTCCCAGACCCACCCCCAGCCATCCCGCCCATTATTTGTGTTCCGGCATCAATCTGTTTACAAATTAAGCCCTGCATGTCCCTCTTTGTGGTTTTTGGGGGTTTATTTTCATTGGTTTCCATTCATGTGGACAGCCACAAGTTCCTTGGCCTTCACGAAACATCAAATCTGAGCTGGACTGTGAACACAGCAGCCACAGTGAAGAAGGCCCAGAAGCACCTTTATTTCAGTAGACTGCTCAGGACGGCTGGGGTCAGTCAGTCCACTTATACAAACTTACAGAGGACTGATGGAGCGCAACCTCTCAGGTATCACTGAGAAAATAGTTAGGATTGAACTTCCTTTCATGGATACAATATACACAATGGTGTCAGGAGAAGGCCAATAACATCAGACACACGTCACCCAGCTCATTGTCTTTAAGTCCCAAACTCACAGCGTACAACCTGACAAAAAGCAGAGCAGACAGCACCGTTTTACAACAGCTTTTCCCCTGCTACAGTGAGACAGATGGCAAAAAACTAAATAAGGATTTGTACGTGAAGTAACCGTTGTGCATGGCATTTTTGTTGTTGCTGTTTTTGCTGGATTTAAGTTTAAGCTTTCTTCTTGCACTGACTGACTCAAGTGCTTTGCATCAAAAATTCCTGCGCACTTAAACTGGGTGTACTTGTACAAATGGCCAATAAAGTTTCTTGAATCTTGAATTTAGAATTTAGAATGCCAGTTCAGCAATGATATGTTTGACTTTTCCAGTTAATACTTGACAAAATCTCTAATAAATCTTCAAGGAGATGAAACTGATAGACTGTAAAAGTTAAGCTTCTAAAATAAATCAGTGCTGCTCATGAAAATGAGACGGCGGGCCTCATGCATTTCTTTAAAGAAGGGGCGGTTAACTTTTAGATTCTTTGTAAGTTCTTATTTTCTTTTCACTTTTTCCATGAGGTTAGACTAAATGTGGCTTCATTTAAGTGCTTGAATGAAGATTTCTGCAAAATTACAGGTAAATTTCAAGTTGAAGGTGTACTGGCACTCTGTTGAATCCTGATACAAAACTCTCGCTGTCTTTTTTGCGTCGACATGTTGAAGCCGCATGTCAGACAGCAGTGTCCTGATCCCCCCAGCAGGCGTCAGGCTGATACTCATTACTGTGCAGCACACAGCCAGACTGAAATGCCTCCAGGGGAAGATTCCCCCCATGTTCTCTGGCAGAAAGGAAATCAAGCATCAGCTAAGAAGTGGAAACCCATTGATTTTGGCATGATACCTATATAAATGAAAACAACAAAAAAAAAGGTCAAAGCCTTGTTGACGAGAAAGAACACATTAAACACATTCTGGACACAGAAGCATCTCTGAGGATGAATCTCGCAGCATTCGTGGTGGTGGTCTAGACTAGGAGGGCTACAGAGTGTAAGAGTGTGCAGGAGAGGAGGAAAGAGAATCGTAAATAATTGACAACAGTTGGGAACTCCTTGTTTGCCTTGTGTAACTGCAGTGGATGAAAACATGCATATATGTGCTTATACCACTTATATACAAATATAAATAGTTTGGAAACGTGATGGAGATTATAACTCAGAAACTGTAACTTATGAGCTCATATTCTACATAAAGCCCAGCTCAAACAAATCTAACCCCTTTCTTTGAAAAGCATTTCTATCTCTCCCTTATTCCCACTGACATTGTCTCCTCAATTCTTCTCATCCCTTTTATTAATATTTCTCCTTTTTCTTACTACACCTTTACAACAATATTTCAGACAAAAGTTGGGATGATGGTTAAAGTGTGATTAAAATCAAAATGCAGTGAACAGCCAATAAAAAAACTGATGACCTCCTACTTCAGACAAAAATGGGGCATTCTCTTTTAAAACCTCCAGCAACAGTTCCTCAACACTTTCTAACCATTTTTTCTGCTTCACGGTAGTAAACATGACCCTGACCTAACTTTTTGGAGGGAGATGCTTTCCTGACATAAAATCCCAAATTATCCTTTTTACCCAAAAGTTTATATAATTTCTTAGTTCAAAAATTTTATAAATCTGCCTTCTTCCACCTGCGTAATATCACTAAAATTAGAAACATCTTATCTAAAAATGATGCAGAAAAACTGGTTCATGCATTTGTCACATCTAGACTGGACTATTGCAATGGTTTGTTATCTGGGTGTCCAAATACGTCTTTAAAACGTCTTCAATTGATCCAAAATGCTGCTGCCAGAGTCTTAACCGGAGTTAATAGGAGAGATCATATTTCTCCAGTTTTAGCTTCTCTCCATTGGCTCCCTGTCAAATCCAGAATAGAATTCAAAATCTTACTTCTAACCTACAAAGCTCTCAACAACCTGGCTCCATCTTATATTACAGATCTTAATGTTCCATATTTTCCTAACAGAGCACTTCACTCTCAAACTGCGGGTTTATTTGTGGTTCCTAGAATTTACAAAAACAGAATGGGAGGCAGATCTTTTAGTTATCAGGCTCCTCTCTTGTGGAACCAACTTCCAATCTCTGTCTGTGAGGCTGACACATTATCCAGTTTTAAAACTAGGCTTAAGACTTTCCTTTTTGCTAAATCCTATAGTTAGGGTCGGCTTGGGTTTCCTGAGCTGTCCCTTAGTTATGCTGCTATAGGCTTAGACTGCTGGAGGACAAACTGACCACAATTTTCACTCTGCTACTATCTTTACTTACTCTGCTCAACCTGTTTTGTATTTGTAATTATTTTTCTATCCTTAACGTGTTTTTTTGTCTTTCAGATACACCTGGACCTATACCTGGACCTACCATTCTGTGTTCGTCTGTCTCTCCTTCCTGTCCTCTCAACCAGCCGGTCAAAGCAGATGGCCGCTTGTCCTGAGCCTGGTTCTGCTGGAGGTTTCTTCCTTTTAAAAGGGAGTTGTTCCTTTCCACTGTTGCCACTGTGCTTGCTCAGGATGGGAGACTGCAACGAAGCCAAGATTCAACTTGTCTGCTGGATTCCTTAGATAGAGAACTTTACTAACTGGCTTTTATGTATGTGAATGTTCCTGTAAAGTGCCCTGAGACAACTTTGTTGTGATTTGGCGCTATATAAATAAACTGAATTGAATTGCATTCTCTGTTTCAGTAACAGGAAGATCCCCTCGGTCTCTTCTTTCCTCAGCCCATACATTATCTGTTAAAACTAAAATGTTGGCTCTGTGAGGGTACATGTGGAGCACAACAGTGCAACACTTCAGCACCAGATTCAGCAGAGCACAAAACAAAAGTTTGTGAAAATCATTAACCATGTTAGGACCACGGGAAATGAAACACACGTCTCTACTAGAAGAATTCATTTCAGTCTGAGTGTTTTAAAACGTCATTCTCTGAAATACTTTGAAATCCCTTCATCAGCCAGAACATATTCAAAGTGCCCGAGTGAGATGGTGTTGAAGCTGTTGTTCATTATCCCTGAGATGCAGCGTACGCAGCAGCCAGGAGCAGATACAGAGCTAGTGACAGGTACAAGAGAAGTCACTGATTACAACAATTATGCGTGTGGGTCCCCGTGATAATATTGAACAGTGGCTGGTGCATCTTAATTCAGGACAGCATCGCCATCTCAGATAAGAAAGCAAGAGACGTGCCGACAGGAACATGATAGAAGTTGTCTGTGTCATGTGCTGAAGGGCGATTTTATGCCACTGAAATGGCTTTGTGTGTGTGTGTGTGTGTGTGTGTGTTTGAACATTTGGAAGGAGATGACAAAAACAGTG